GCTTCCGGGACGCGGGTGACGTGACGGACGCGACGCTTCCTGCGGCAGCGACCGAGACGTCTGCAGTGTTTCGCGCTCGGAGGCTGCTTTTTTGCTCTGCTCCGCCGCGGGCGCCTCCGCTGCCATGAACAAGAAGAAGAAGCCATTCCTGGGCATGCCCGCGCCCCTCGGCTACGTGCCGGGGCTGGGCCGGGGGTGAGGCCTGGGGCGGGGCGTGGGGCGCGGGAGGGGGTCCCGGAGGAGGACTGTGCTGGCTGCCCGCGTTTCTCCCTGGACGCAGGACGCGGAAGATGCACCGAAAATAAATTAGGGTCCGCCGCCAGTCTGCAGCCTGCTGGACGGTCTGATTTAATCCGTGTAGGTCGCAGACCTGGCCGTGAGCCTTGCTTGCCACTAGGAGCTGTGACTTGAGACTTAACCCCCCCCCCTGAGCCCGCGTTTTGGTGTCCAAAATGGGTGTTGACGGCATGCAAGTCAACCGTGAGGAGTAGATAAGGTCCTGATGTGAAGTAGGAGCACGTTAGCCCTTCCTTGCTTTAAGCACGACTGATCTTTTCTGTTTAGTATTGGTCACTTTAGGTTGTCTGTTCAGTCTCAGCTCCTGGGGGCAGGCGGGCTGGTGCCTGGGTGACCCATGCCTGCCTCACAGATGACCACCGTTACTTATTGGATAAATAAGCAGTTCTTAGAGTTCTTCTTGGTTATCTGAAGCAAAAAGTGGGTCTCATTTGGTAGTGGTATCAAAAACTGCCCCAGGGGCACACAGAACACAGATGTGTCACCATTTTCAGAGGGCCAGCAGTTTATCAGAGGAAGTTTGATGCTTGTATAACTAAGGGTTTGAAGAGGAACAGATTTAGAACGTGGGGATTCCAGAGATTAGAAAAAGGTAGATTTGAATGTATCAGATGTGGCAGAACTAGAAGAGAAACTGGCATTTTGTGTGTAGGCAGTTAAAGGGTTAAAAAATGGAAGGATCAAAGGAAAACCAGGGGACAGCAAGGAGACCAAAGTGAGTGAAATGGAGCTGTAGGAGGTCAAAGAGGCCTGTAGGCTTCAGAGAGCCGGTGATACCAAAGAATGCCTCAGTCAGAACTGTGTTTTGGGAAGAATCATCTGGTAGAGCAATACAAAGATTAGGAGTAAGTATGACCAGCTGGTTTGCCAGTTGTGGTGTAATTCGAGGAGGGGGGATTTGGAGGTAGGATCAGTAGTACTTGAGGGTCGGTGGGTCGGAGAAGACTGAAAAGGGAGGTTAAGATGATGTTTTGATGCCTGGGACTACACTGCTGCTATTAACAGCAGAGACAGCTGAGAGTAGCTGCAGGATCCAGAGAGGGCCTTGGTTTGACTTAGTTGGATGGGGGTGCTCAGCGGGCTGTTGGAAATGTGAGGCTGGGACTTGGGAGGAGTGAGATCTGAGACCTGGTAATTCACATGGAGGAGAAAGGGACAAATCTTGGAGTGATGGTGGGGGTTGGGGTGGAAACATAAGGCAAGCAGAGAAGATCAGTGGTGCTCAGCATGGTTAGAAAGCATGGTTTACTGCCAGCAGAATGTTTGGAAATTCTCAGAGGTGTTAGAAAAAGAGATGTTACTATAGGACCATCTAGGTAATGGGCATCTTCCTGCAGTGCCACTGGTTTCACCACCCGGTCAGACATTGGGCCAGCCCGGGATGCAAATGATCCTGTGGATGATCGCCATGCACCACCAGGCAAGAGAACAGTGGGGGACCAGATGAAGAAAAACCAGGCTGCTGATGATGATGATGAAGATCTGAACGACACCAACTATGATGAGGTGACTTTTGTGAGGCTTCTGTGACTGGCTTCCATGATGAGGTGCTCCGATCATAGATTCCTTTAACTGTGTGAGAAGGGAACAGTAAAAACAGATATGAGACTCTTTTTCATATTTTCAGAAGAGATGTACTTACAAATGTCTGAATGTCCTATTGGTACATTGCCCTGCTGGTCATTAATGATGTACACTGTTTCCATAAATGTCCTTTTCCTGGCATGGGACCCGTTCCAGGATTCCCCATCACATTTAGTCTTTTTAGTCTCTTCCAGCTAGACCAGCTCCTCTGTCTCTTACGCCTTTGGCACTTGAAGAGTATTGATCAGTTGGCTATAGACTGGCTCTCAATTTGGGTTTGTCCTATAAAAAGCAGTTGGCAAGTAATTTACATCTGAAAAGTCCTTTGAGTTGGTGGGATTATGTTCAAGGTAGTACTGACTCTTTTAATATATTGTTTGGTTCTTAGTTTAATGGCTATGCTGGGAGCCTCTTTTCCAGTGGGCCCTATGAGAAAGATGATGAGGAAGCAGATGCTATTTATGCAGCTCTGGATAAAAGGATGGATGAAAGAAGAAAAGAAAGAAGGTAAATTAATGCTGTTTTTATCTGACAGAATAAGTTTTGCACTGACTTTAGACTAAGAGAAGAGTTGTAGGATTAGTATGTATCAGCTTAGCTTCAAGGCAGCATGGGTCTTGGTCTGGGTCAGCTGGGTCTGGGGGCTACAGTGAAGCTTGAGAACTCTATAGCCTGAATACCCCTCAAATCAGAATTTGGGATATTACTTTGACTAGACATTAGAGTTATCCATGAAATGGAGAGTGATGTTGATTAATCCATATTAAATAATTTGAAAATGAATATACAGATTTTATGGTAGTTGTGGTTTGGAAACTTGTTCCACATGTCAGTGTTGTGTGTGGCTATAGGGTTGGGAGTGATTTAACCAAGTTGGGCTGGTGGGAGGTGCAGACATCAGGAAGTCTATGAGAAGCAGGCTTTGGATAGTGGTTCCTATGGTGCCAACTCAGGCAAGCTCTGTCCTTGGTACCTGTTGGAGAGGAGACTTTCTCTGCAGGCCTCTGGGGTGAGTGTTCTGCATCTCTGTTATTGATGTTACTTCAGTGTACCAATTGATGTGGCAGCTTTCTGAATCCTTTGTCCTTATTCTGGGGAACTTAGTGAAGTAAACATAAGATGCTATAATGTATAAAAAGGCATTATATTGGTTTGCAAGTTTCTAATTTATTGTAATAGGAAGTTACATTTTTACCTGTGTTTGGTGGTACATGCCAGTAATCCTAGGTGCATGGGTGGCTGAGGCAGGAAGATCATAAATTCAGGGCTAGCCTGGGCAACTTAATGAGACCTTGTCTCAAATTAAAAAGGATTGGGGGTGTAGCTCAGCGGTAGAGTGTTTGCCTAGCTTGGGTTCAATACCTAGTGCAAGGGTAAAAACAAACAAACAAAAAACTCCAAATTTCTTATTATAGAGGATTAGAAAAATGAGATGAAGTATGTTTCTTTATAAGCCCAGAGAGTAACTATTAATACTTCTTTTTTCTCTTTCTATTGCGTTTTGTTTTTGGTGGTGCTGGGGATCAAAACCAGGGGTTTGCACATGCTAGGCAAGCACTCTGCCACTAAGCTGCACCCCTTGCCTTTTTTGTTGTTTTTCTTTCTTTCTCTCTCTTTTTTTTCACCCCAGTACTGGTGATGGAACCCAGGGCATCACACATGCAAGGCAGGAACTCTACTGCTGAGCCACATCCCTAGCCCTTTTAAAATTTCTGTTTTGGGATAGGGCCTCACTAAGTTGCCCAGGCAGGGCAACTAGCTTTGGGGCTGGTCTCGAACTTGCATTCCTATTGACTTAGCCTCCTGAGTAGCCAGGATTACAGGGTTCTGCCACCATGCCTTCAGTCCATTTATCAGATTACATATAAATTCCTACCAATTTATGTTCCTACCAAAGGATGTTTTCCTTTTTCTTTATAGAGGAAAATTTAAATCTCATTTTAAAAAGTTGTAGCTAGTTGGTTCATATCAACTCCTGGTAGATTGATTTGGTTTGTCTAAGCTTAGTTCTAAATGATCCATAGCCCTGTGTCCCTGAAAAAGTTACGTGGATGGTGATACAAACCATCTGACCTGGCAGATGGGCGAGATAAGTTGAGGGCTTTATATATATAGGGACCTCTCATAGTTTTCAGTTTTGCTTCTGAGTTGAACTTTCATAGGCTGGCCTTAGGGAATTTGTGAATTTTAAAGCAGTGAATATACTTGTGTTCAAATGGAAGAATTTATAGATGGTTGCCCTCTAAAAAGGTTCGACTCATGATTTTCAACATTACAGATGGTATGAAAGCAGTATGCATTCAATAGAAACTGTACTTTGAATTTTAATCTTTTCTAGAGCTAGCGATAGGCGGCAAGATACTTTCTTGTGATGCTGAGCAGCTCCTGGTCATCCATGCAATCTAAGGAATGACACCTAGTGCTCTGTGGTGTGTTCTGTAAAGCTCATGTGTTCAGTAGAGTAGGGGTATTACACACTTTTTTTTTGCATAGGCAGGTTTATTTAGGAAGGTAGATAGACTTTCAAGGGAGAGTGCGGGCTATCTTGAGAATGAGAAGCACCCATTTACATGGATTTTTGACTTGGGAAATTTTCAGCTTGTGATGGGTTTATTGCTACAGAACTCCATTGTAACTCAAGCAACTATATATCAAAGTAAGATAACTTCTTTTAATTTTATCAAATTTCTGCCTATTTTCAGTTGGTAGATAGTTGAATTACTATGTATATAAATGTTTCCATAGTTGCCTTAATATACACTTGACTAAGCAGCTTAGTATGAAAGTATTCTTTTTTGGTGATTTAATTAGGGTATACAACTAGCCAGCTTTGTTTTGGAATGGACACAGTGTTCCTTCCTTCCTTCCTTCCTTCCTTCCTTCCTTCCTTCCTTCCTTCCTTCCTTCCTT